CGCCCAGGCTCTGGACTCCTGAACCTCAATGGATGGAAGCTGTTCTACTCAGGCGTCAATATCACGACTCCCGCTCAGGCCGGTATTGGCGTTCTGGTGGAACCCAACCTTGCCAATAGAATAACCGATTGAAAGCCTGTCAACGGAAGGGTAGTAGTCCTCCGACAGAAGCCACAACAGGCTAAATCGATGACCTTGGTACAGTTCTATGCACCCAGCCCAATTTGGAGGGAGAATATGAGACCTTCCTTGAGGAAGTACAGTGTGCTCTGTCCGAAGTGCCGAATACGGAGTCCCTCGCACTGATGGGCGATTTTAATGAGCACGTCGAAGTAGACGCTGAAAACTGGAAAGGCGTGATTGGGAAAAACGGCCCTAGCGACCTCAACAGTAACGGCATGAAGTTATGTGCAAACAACGGATTGTCCATTATGAACACCTTCTTTCAGCGTCGAAAAGTGCATCAGTACACCTGGTACCGGGAAGCTTGTGCACAGAAGTCGATGATCGATTTAATAATCGCATCGCCTGACCCAAGACGCTTAGTAATTGATGTTCGTATTAATAGAGACGGAGCTGTCAACCGATCATCACCTTGTTTTTGACACGCTGCGCTGCTAGAAATGGAGAACCATACGAAGATCTGGTGGCAGAAGCAACCGCAGAATCAAATGCGAAGCTCTATCTTCGGTAAACACCAGGTCGAAATTTGCAAACTACATCGCACGACGGTTTGAACAGATCCGGTAATGACAACTGATGTAGAAACCAAGTGGCAGCTCTATAAAAGCGGCATACTCGACGCTGCCGCAGAATGCTGCGGATTTAAACGGGTTGGCCTGCCCCCTGGAGGTCAGAAAAGATGTTTCTGGTGAACATGAGAGGTATAAACGGCATTCAAGAAATGGCTTGGAAGCGAAGACCTTTCTACTCGCCTGCGCTATGTCGAAGCACTTAAGGCGGTAGCCATAGTAGTGGCGAAACCAAAGCTGATTCCTGAGAGAAGTTCGGTGAGGTGTTGGAGTCGAATTTCCACACGGCTAACAACGTATTCTGGCAGACCATCCGCCGGCTACGAGGTGAAAAGACGGGCAGTCTTAGAGTCTTGAAGCACAGATCTAGACGCCCTCTTACCAAGAATGATAACATTCTTCGGCGATGGATGGAGTACTTCCAGGAACTCCTTAACCCCGCGCAACAACAGGAAGTCTTGCCTGTAGAGCAGAAGAGTACGGATATTATTATCTCTGCAGAAGAAATTGCACCAGCTGTGAAAAGCTTGAAAAATGGAAAAGCTGCTGGAATTGACGAAGTCTGCCTTGAGATGCTCAAAGCATTAGGCGAACAAGGCATGAGCTGGCTAACACGTGTCTGTCAAACTCGGAAAAGACACCAGCGGACTGGAAAGCAGGAGTTATTGTACCCGTGTTCAAGAAGGGAGACCACAAGAAATGCTCCAGTTATATGGGCATAACGTTATTGAGCCTCCCAGGTTAAGTCTACGCAAGGGTGCTAGAAAGGAGGTACCGTGAAATAGCTGACGCCAAGATTCAAGAAAAGCAGTATGACTTCCGGCCCGGTCGAAGCACCTCTGACTATATATTTGCCCTGCGTTAGATTGTTGAGAAATCGTGGGAGTACGCCCAGCCGGTGTACGTGTGTTCTGTGGACCTAAAGAAAGCGCATGACCGGATCCCACGTAAGAGTCTGTGGACATGCCTTCGTGCATACGGGATTGATGGCGAGTT